AATACATCTTCTTTTTTTGTTGATTATCTCGGCCTTGCGGTAATCGAGTAATCAATATTGGACAACCTCACACGTCAATTTTACCTAACTTTGTTTATTTATGTTTGAATAATAAAATAATTGTTTTCAATTCACTTCCAATATATATTACAATTATTACAATAAAAGAAGGACGTTTTTTTACATTTGGTCCCATGTATATATTATATATATATATATAATATATATATATATATATATATATATATTATATTTAAATATCGGGGTGATTCCATTCTATAGATAAGTCTATGGTATTTATTTATAATTTAGAGAATATTTTGATCTTAAGAGTCAATAATGTTACAGATCTAAGTATGGTTTTGCTCAGAAATTTGTCTTTTAATAGTTGACCATATTCTTATTCTGATATGATCAATTTCTTGAATCTAGTTTTTTTTTCTTACCAGATACTTTGTATAAATAAGTGTGTACTTATAATTTCTTTAATGCTCTAGTAAAATTTACTAAAAATACTGGATTTCTGTGAGATAATCAACAAATTCAATCTATTATGTTACATTCTTGCATAATTTTCAGTTTTCTTGTGATGATCTACAACAAGGAAGAACAAAACCAACTGTATCATACAATCAAACTAAAACACAACATTACTTTACTAATGTTCTTTTATTGTGATAAAAACAAAACGGAAATGCTTCTTAACAAGTATACACTAAATTTAAAAGATAGTTGCCGTTTTTCTTATGATAACTAGATATAAATAACATACATTTATAATTTATAAACACTTTAAACTATATTTAGTATATTTATCTGTGGCTTGGAATAAAAAGGGCGGATGTCCATTTTTCTGTATTTTAGGTTCATATCATTTCTATAGTAAGCATATGAGATAGTTTCATTTAAAAAAAGTCAGATGTCCATATCTTTTACGGTTTTTTAACTTTTGCAAAACAAAAAGGCGTAAGTAAATACTCCTTTTTACGTAAAAAGGTCGTATATGGACACCCGCCCTTTCTTGCAATATAATGGACATAAGATTATTATGCTTCAGCACGTGCAGTTTGAAAAAGGCGGTAGTCCAACTGACATTCTCAAAACCTAACCTCAATTAATATATTAGTGTGCCTTGTTTCTTTGGCGTTTATAGAGTATTCTTTATTGTGAAATACTTATTTATACAGATGAATAGGGGAAAGAAAATATTACTATTGGCAAAACAGTGCACTAATCAAGAAGATGATAAAGAAATTTTAACTTATCTTTGTAAGTACATACCTGCATTATAAAGATACACATATAATATGATTAGTAATGATGTACTATTCCAAATTCTTTCCTTGCAGCAAATAATGAAAACATACAACTAGAATGTAAGTTTGCGGATTCTTTTGTTGCTCCTAATGTTATATTAGAATCACATGGAACTCCTATAGGTAAGATTTAGTTTTTAAATTGATTTTACTCTATACTACGAAAAAATGCTTTGATTTTAGAGAACATCAGTGAAGTTGTTTATTCCGCAAGTAATGCTGAAATTTTCTCTAAATAATCTAGAACAAGAGGTACCCAGTAGTGGTAAAATTTACATTTTCATTTTGTATGTCCACTTAAAACTTATATATTTGTATTATTTTAGTTACAGAAGATATAAATCTTATCACTCCTAATACGTATGTTTGGTAATGGTATGATTCATGCAGGTGAATCTCTGGGAGAACTAATAGATTGCAGGTTTTACATGGAAATGATGATGGAGATGTGAACACCATGCGAAGTTCTAAAGGTAAGATGAGCTTAGTAAACCTTGTATCTATGCACTAGAGAACTAAACTAATTTTTTTTAGGTGATACTAATGATTTAGATATGAATGATCTAAGTTACGATCCAACCTTAGATTTAGCCATGATACAGAAAATGACAGTGAAGAAGGGACAGAAAAAATTGAACATAAAAATGATGGCCCAGTTTCTGGTAACGATACAGAACAAGAAGAGATTGATTCTCAAATAGGAGAAAAACGACAAGGAAACGAAAATCAAACCCTAAGTTATGGAAAACAAACATTGCAAAGGCAAAAAGACTAAAAGGAGAATAATATGTTGGATTAAAAGAAAACGTAAAAGCTGCTAAAGTGATGGGTATACCTTGCAATTGCAGAAAATTATGCCATACTAAACTTGATGCAAATGAACGATTTCAAATATTTCAAACGTTTTGGAAAAAAACTTATAGTTGGGAACAAAGACATCAATTTTTGGCACAAAGTGTTAATATTCGTCCAAAAGATAGACAAAGATCCAGAAATGGCAGTCAGTTAGGTAGGAGAAACTTTACTTACAGCTATGTTTTCAATATAAATAACAAAAATATTGAAATATGTAAAGTTATGTTTTTGAATACATTATCAATATCTGAAAAGGTTGTCCGTGGAGCAGTAATAAAGAAACTGCAATCGCCAGGAGGTTTAATTTCAAGTCCTGGTGAACCAATATCAGCACGAAAATTAGATGAAGAAAAGAAGCGCACTGTTATGGAACATATTAATCTATTTCCAAGAGTAGAAAGTCATTACAGTCGTAGCCATTCTAAGAGACAATATTTGAGTCCTGAATTAAACATTGCTGTAATGTACAAATTATACACTGATTGGTGTAATGAAGAACTCATACCCAAAGAAAAAATTGTAACAGCTAGTATGTACAGATTCATATTCTGCACTGAATTTAATCTGAGTTTTAAACTACCGAACTTGGATACATGTGATATGTGTGATAAAATTACATGTAGTTTACAAAACGAAAATGATGAGAATCTAAGAAAAACGATCGAAAATGCTAAAAAAAATACATTTAGATGATGCAGAAACTCGCTATGGTCTAAAGAGAGTAGATAAAGAGAGAGCCAAGAAGGAAGGCTCAACGAACGGGTTGTAATGATTGATTTACAAAAATGTTTACCGACCCCATTATTAAACCAATGCAAAAATCATTCTATCTTCGACAGCTATGGACGTTTAATAATTTTACTATTCACGACAACACTGCTGGAGAAAATCATTGTATGATATGGAATGAGACAATATCTGAGAGAGGTGGGAATCAAATAGCATCGTGTTTATTTAAGTGGATTCAAACTCTCCCAAATAATATAAAAGAAATTACTCTTTGGTCTGACAACTGCGCTGGGCAAAACAGAAATACAATGTTGTTTGCCATGTATTTGTACGTGGTTCAAAAATTTCCTCATCTTGTAATAAAACCACAAATTTTTATTGACAGGCCATACACATATGGAAGTAGATGCAGTTCATGCTGTAATTGAGAAGAAAAAGAAAAGACTGTCTACAATGTCCATTCAAACTCCTAGAGAATGGGCACAGTTTATACGTACTTGCCAATACAGTAATAAGCCATTGGAAGTACACGAAATGTCCCAAAATGAATTTTTTCAACTGGGCTAATTTTATATTCTGTTCATGGGAAAATTAATTGTTCGTAAAGTAAACACAGATGGAGAACCGTTTTGAGTTCTAATATTGTTCATTTGCAAGTACGATCAGATAAACCTGGTAAAATTACTATATAAAACGGGAATTTCATGCAGCCTTTAAAGAAGTAGATTTTAAAGAAACAAAAGACTGAACTTAGGTTTCTCGAATAATTGTTTAAAGCCAATAAGGGTAAATAGTTTAATTCCCATTAATAAAAAGAAATACGACAATCTTATGGTTTCTTCTACAATGGGTGGACGAACAGCATAAAGATTATTATATAAACCTCCCACATTATACAAATCTAGATTCTGATGAAGACGACCGAAAATAAAATCTTTTTATAAACTAAATAAAATTATTAATCTATGTTTTGTTATACCTTGAAAATAAAATTGTTCATTTTGTAAGAGGATTATTTATTTATAAAGTCGGATGTCCATAAGAATTAATTGTACACCAGTTCATTAAAAAAGGCGGTTGTCCCTTTATTTTATATTATTTATAATATTTCTAGCATACAAAATTGTTTCAAACATAGGGATATTCCAATATTATCTTTTACAAATACATTGATGGTGCTGTATTAAGTAGTAAGCTTATAAACTACAAGCAAATGTGGTTAATATGCGGCCAAATATAAACAATGGCCGATTACTCGAGTTTACGTTTTGTGACACCCGCCCTTTTCATTCCAAGCCACAGATATATATATATATATATATAATATATATATATATATATATATATGTATATGTATATATATATGTATATATATATATATATATATAGTATATATTAATATATATGTATATGTATATATATATATATATATATATGTATATATATATATATATATATATATATATATAATATATATATATCATCTAGAAAAAATATCAGATTAAATACTATTCGCATATCACCAAGTCCAATTTATTACAAACAACTTAAAGAGTCAGAAATCGATTTATATATTAAATATTAGAGGAAAATAATAATAATAAATAAATTTCACAAATGTCATTAGTGTCAATATGTCATAATTTAGTGAAGTAAACTTGCCCGCGGTTGGACCAATTGCAAACAAGCATTACGGCGCGGAAAATTTGAATTACTACTCCTGGTTAAAAAACAGACCATAGTTATGTTCTGTAACTCTTTTACTGACCAAGATTTAAAAATTCCATGATTTACTTCCTTTTTATAACCGTTTGATTTTAAACAATGCCCCTAATATAATAAAGTAAATTAAGCATAATGGTCAAACTGCAACTATTATATCATATGTAATGTTTTGGACGTTTTCAAGAATGGAAGCAGTTTAAAAAAACTTTTAAAAAATTACAGTGATAAAAAACAATTTAAATATTAATGTCTCATAGCTCCTCTAAAAATAAAAAAGAATGACCTCTTACAGAAATTATTAATTACATTATAAATTGGTTGAGCAGTAAAAAATACAAAGATACAAACACAAGAGTCAAATAAAATTTTTTTTACCTGTTTACATCTAACACAAATTCGACACTTTCTACTTTATATCATAAAACGGTAAGACGGAGTGAGATATAAAATTTCTAAATAGAATCAGATTAAATTAATTCATGCTTACCTTGAATGAATACATGTATCACGTAATAATTGGTAAAGTATGTAAATAGTTGAAAGGAATGTGGATATATTGCTGAATATTTTGTTAATATAGTTGTTAATATAATATTAAAAAAAAATGTATTAAAAAAACGAACATTTTTTCGTTCTACCCAATATGGAAGAGTTTATGTGTCTCTTTGTCTTTAATATGTTTAACTGAAAACCAAATATGTGACTTTCGTTTGTAACTAGTCATGCGAGATCAAATAACTCTTCTTGAATATTTACAAGGACTCTGTCATGTGCAAAACGTAGGTTGTTTATTTTTCGGCCTTTTATTGAGATGCTCTCTTCGGATCCTTCAAGCGTACTTCTCATAATATGCTTCTCGAATATATGTATATATAGTATATATATATAAATATATATATATATATATATATATATAATATATATATAATATATATATATTGTAGTGAGAGCAGAAATGCAATAAATTAACATAGAAAAATATACAACCAGAGATCAATGTTAATTAATAAATTTATTCAAATAGTAATTAAAGACATAATTTATAAATTATATATACTAGATAATATTATTAAAAAAATAATTATATGAGGGTATTTTTTACGAATTTAGCATAAGAAGTTTTTTTTATTTTATTTTTTATTATATATTTTTTAAGTCAGCCATATGCTTATGCAACCAAACATACACTGTAGTGTCAACGTCAAAAAGTTATTGCTAAGTTACTGATTGTAGGATGTCCTCATTAGGAAACTGTAGCTACATTTTCATCAAATTCTTCAAAATCTGTTAGCTCTTCCGGTCCATAGGTGATAGTAAGTTCAAACGGTCTGGCCAAAACATCTAATGTCAGGTCATCTTCATCATCAGTCAATCCTTGTCAAGACAATTGTCTACAAGCAGAAGAATTTTTTTCCCTTTAAGCTCGGTATCCACTTTCTTATCGCTTCTTCAAAAATTTTCGAAGTCATACACGCACTCTTGTTTGCTTTATAGCTCACCGGTAGATTTTTTATGTTTTAAAGCAACGTGGGGTTTTCGACTTCTCTATCATTAACAATTTTTGCATCAACGCGCTTTTTTGATTTAAATTTTAAAGTCCTGTTCGGAGTCATTAAAAAAAAAACAATCCAGACTCATCAGCATTGAAAATGTTGTCTGACGCATATCGTAACCTTCAGTCCACTGTAATATAATGGTGTACCATCTTGTATAAAGCACATATTTCGCCTTAAGTTTCATGACAATTCTTCCAATAAATCCATAAAATCATTTTATAAAAAATGTTAATAAATTTCGATATTCAAATTGCACGGTAGTTCGCATATCCGTAAAAACTAATTACCAATGGTTTCAAGCCCTAGGAGATGCATTTTAAATATACATTTTGAATGATATTTTACGGGATATGCGAATTACCTTTCAATTTGAATGGTGAAATTTATTTACATTTTTTATAAAATGACTTTATTGATTTATTGAAAGAATTGTCATCAAACTTAAGGCGAAATATGTGGTTTCTACAAAATGGTAGACAATTACAATACAGAGAAAGAAAAATACAACTTTCCTGATCGTTAGATTGTTCGTGGTCTTGTAGTGAGATGATAATATATTTATTTAATTCATAAAAATTAAAAAAAAAAACTACTTATTACTATACGTAGGACAACTATAATAAATACTGCAGCAATTTCTTTAGGACCAATGATGCTATTTAATATGAAACGATATTTTATGGAATGTATTGACAAATTAATTAAAGAAAATGGTGGACATATCGAACACTTACTTTGACAAAAAGATTAATGTTATTTAGTTTAACTATCTCTTAAGTTTGTTTGAAGTTTGTTTGAAGCAAAATCCAAATATTCTGTTATTTTATCAAATCCTATTATTATTTATCCTGCTGATATATTTATTTTATTTATTATTTCGTTAACTTTTGACTTTAAAAAAGGTATTTTATAACAAAATTCGGAAGTATTGATCTTTTATCTATTTTTCTTTCATTGCCTGGAGTAATTGCGTTAAATCAGAATTATGGTAGTTGATTTGTAAAATGCGATTTTTTCAAAAACTGTTGAGTTTTGAAGTTATTAACAAGTATACCTTTTTTTTTGTTAAAATAATGTATCTTTAATATTTTTCATCAAAAATACCGGTAACTTAAAGAACAAAAAAGTTATGTGTAAATGTATTCCACGTATGTAGCACATGTGGCGTTCTCTATTAGCTATATCAAACTATGCATCAAATTATAATTTCTGATATTCAGTAGTACTCAGCTGTAAATTTTTATACATAAATGTTTACAAACGTGAAAGTTATAGCGAAAAATAAAATTATAAATTTCCACTTTAACACCCTGTATCTTTTTTAATATCAACATTTTATAAAAGGAAGTTGGCTTAAATCGTAATATTTTAAAGTGTAGAATCTGCAGTTTCTTTTTGTACAATTACTTAAGGACCACCCTTTATAAGTGTATGAGTACTCCCTTCCACTTTTCAATTTGTTCTACGCGCAACCCGCCAGCTCTCGGTTGTTGGATAATACTGATGAATGTAACGTCCCATTGAAAATACACGCCATTAATACAGTACATATTAGGTTTGTTCCAACACAACGAAAAACCGTCACGTAACGGTCAAGCTCCTGCGCACTAAACAAAATACGTTCCAACAAATAAATGATTATTCATCTCATCGTCCTTCAGACCGTTCCAACAAAAATTGTGATCGCTCAGTGACGGTTCGTGACGATAATTTCAGTAATCTGGCAAATGCATGTACTGGGTGGGATGACTTGGGCACTAGGATTTTATTGTAATTCTTTAAATTTGTTTGGGCCTAGATTATCTTAGATTTTATATTATAACTGTAAATTTGTTCAGAAAAAAGGAGAAGTTAGGTTAATGATTTTATTAGGTGCTTATGATAGACTTGTTATTGATTTATATATTTGTTTTTCGTTATTTATAACTTTATAAAATATGACTGACGATGAAGGAATTAGTGATTTTTCTGATTATTATTGAAGTGAGGGTAATTTGGAGCTATTAGCCGAACCTAGAGTGAAAAACCAGAATTATTTAGGTAGATTGTCACGAAATTATGTCAGTTGTCTAAAATCGTTCCAACATAAGTTTCCAAATTACCGTCATCAGACGATACAAATGATAAACATGCGCATTAAAAACGGTACAAGTAGTTTCGAGACTGTTTCCGGACCGTACAAAAATTGCGTGTTGGAACAAACCTATTATAAATTTACTATAATATATATTATAATATATTATAATGTTGGTTTTATACTTTTTTCGTCGGCTTCTTCGTTTAATATTGGTAACCAAATATTACTCTAATCTACCAAAAAATTTGGAACCTAGTTTATTTTATTTAGCATTATAATAACGGCTAAGAAACAAACTAATTCGGGGAAAATTAGCCCAACATAAAAATGATAATATTTCAAATTTCTTTCAGTGCTTTGGTACTACATATCTTAGAAGATTTCTTTCACAGTTTGTTTTAATATTCTTTAATATACTTGTTTCCTTGACTGTCGAAGCTAACGTCTACTACTTTCCTTAAATATGTTACTTCTTGAAATTAGGGATAATCAGGAAGAAAAAAAGCAGTAATCCAAAAATAAATTTTTTATTAGTTAAATACATCGTACTTTTAGATTAGTAAATTTAATAATTATTCTAAATACTCTTTAGTCTCAATAAAACGCTTTCTGTAGGTTTTATTACGAAGGTTTGTTCATTAAATTTAATCGGCTCTTTGGTATTAGGACTGACGAAGACTTTAAAATTACGGAGCACAGCGATCAATGCCAATTTTACTTGCATCAATCCAAATCTTGATCCTAGAAAATTGGAAGATATATTAAATATAATATACATGTAATATATATATATATATATATATATATATATATATATATATATATATATATATATATATATATATAGTTAATGTTAGGATGTCTATTGACATCCTAACATTAAAAATTCATATGTGCTTAAGCCAAACTGCTGACTGGATTAATTTATATTTTTTATAGACAATTAAATAAATTATAATAAAAACTATTGTTACTGGTTTTGCTTTCCACGTAAAATAACTGTATTTTCATTCATACATGTCCATTAATCAAACCATGACAATGACATATATAGTGACAATATAGTTATTTTTAATAAAAAATTTTAATATATTTATTATGGTTTGTTTTGTAGAGTACAAGATTAACAACTGTAATCTTACGACTAGTAAGTAAGACAATTAACAATTTTAACTAGTTAATTTATATTTCTTTTTATAGATGTCTTAAAAAAGAATTAAATAAAATTCGAAAGCTTGACAGTAAGTCAAAGAGTTTTCTTTGTCTTGTGGGCCAAATAGACTGACTGCATCCTCAAAAATCATAACTTATATTTAAATCAACAGTCAAGAATCATATATATATATATATATATATATATATATATATATATATATATATATATATATATATATATATATATATATATTTAACGTGATTATTTCGAGCAAAAAACAATTTATCAGTATGTTGGAAATATCGGGTATGTGGTCTAAATTAAATAAAAATCTTTGTTTTTTCTAAAACTCAATATTTTGCCATTTATTTAATAGCTTCATCAGGAGTAGCTGTAAAGAACAAACATTTCAAAAAAACTGACGTACACTTAGATTTACAATACTTACAGAAATTAAAAGATTTCACACATAAATAAACAATGTAAAAACACATTAGAGGAATATTATTTCTTTAATTAATCATTAAGACTAGTTAGTAGAATTAATCATTAAGGTGAGTGAGTTTTAAATTTTGTTCAATATATTGCAATATATGTTGCTTAATTGAACCGTGTCTGTTGATGTGGTTGATGTGGTGTGATGTGTGTTGATGTGGTACATCTCCAAAAATAACCTACTTTTGTAATTGTCAGTCTGTGCCAAAATACGAGCATTGTTATAGTCTAACAGATGACCGGTGTTTTTATAATTCTCGACTACTGCACAACTATTTTTTCCCAAGCGGCAATCACTTTTGTGCTGTGTGATACGTTGTTTTAGCCACTGCGATGTATGGCCAATGTAGCTTTTTTCACATCCTAGACACGGTATTTCATATACCACATTACTCATATATAGGGTTGGTACTGATCTTTAATTTTGGAAAAAAATTGTTTGCTATTTATGGTATTGTATTTAGCTATATTAATATTGGAAACATCTTTAAATATGGATATGACTGAATGAGTTAGACCATTGATAAAGAGGAGTTTTTTATATTTGATTGACTCATTGTTGGAATGAAGGACAGGACCATCATAGAAATTACTGCTGTAAATGAGTTTTTTTAAAATATGTTTAGGATAGCCGTTGTTTCGAAAAATTTTGTATAATATTTTTCATATTTTTCATACCCAATATTGTATTATATTTTTGACGAGTGGTGTGGTTTGAAAAGTAATTCATATACCTGCCCGATGCAGTTGGCTTTTGGTACTAATCCAATGTCAAAATATTGTCATTTGTTCTTGTTACGTTTGTGTCTAAAAATGGTATACTAAGATCTGTCTCTGTTTCAATTGTGAACTGAAGATGTTTGTTAAATGAATTAAAGATGTTTAATTTTGTATTGATGTGATAAGATGGAACTGCACATATGATGTCATCGACATATTTATATATAAATGGTAATTCGAAAGGTAATTGCGTGATCACATTGTCTAAGAGATAATCAGTTACAATAGTAGCAAGGATGGGACTAATCGGGGAACCCATAGATGTTACAAAGATTTGGGAGTAAAATTTTCCATTGAAACCAAAATAAGTGTTATTAAAAATGATCCTAAGAATTAGTAAAAAATTACCTTTAGATAAGGTCGTGTAGTCTTTTATAAGGTTCCAATTTGATTCTATAATTTACATGACCATAGTTAGTGGAATGTTTGTAAATAAAGAAACCACATCCAAAGAAATCAAAACATAATCTTTTGGCAACTGCATTCCCCTAACAGCATTGACAAAAGTAAATGTGTCCTTAGAATTATAATTGTTGCGATATTCAAAGGCATCATTTAATTTATCAGCAAGAAATTTAGAAATATTTTACGTAGTGAACTTTAAAGAACTTACAATAGCCTGAGAGGAACGTCCAATTTGTGGATTTTAGGCAAACAATAAAGTTTGGGAGAATATGAGTCATAGATTGTTAACTTTTTTGCAACTTGTTCAGTAAGTTGATGTTGGTTTTTTAATGTTTTTAGTATTATATTAAAAAGTCATTATATTTTTTCTGTATCACTGTAGTAGGGTTTTTGTTCAAACCATTATATGTCGATCTGTCATTTAACAACGTTAATGTTTTGTCGATATAATCTTGTTTGTTCATAGTGCCGTACAACCACCTTTGTCAGGAAGTAACAATATTAATAGAAATGCTTTAGTATATTACCTATACAATTTCTAGGTCCATCTCCAAAAGGAAAGTATCCAATATGTTTCTCGTTTTTATCTTGAAATCTATTTATATCCCATTTTAAAGGATCAGGATAATATTCTGCATCGCGTTGATATCCTAAAACCGGAAGAAGTACGGGTGTACCCTTTTTGATAACAACATCGCTGTCTGAAAATTTGTAATCTTTGACACACTCCCTAGTCAGTGTACTTAAAACAGGATACTTTCTGGCAGTCTCTAGAAATAAACAATACAATAAGATTATATAGATTTGTTTATAAACGTATACCACGCATTTTATAAATTTCATACAAACAATTACCAAATCAGTGAACCTGAGAAGGACGTAATCTCACTATCGGAGGTAAAGAAAGACGTGGTTAACATTTTGACCATTACATAAAACATGTGGTTTAGTTTATTTCTGGAAAGACGTGTACCAAATAATTGTCAAAAATTTTAAAGGGACAGAAGGGTTCATTAAAATCGAAGAGCGTCAAAGGGAAGAACTGGCCAAAGCTCTTTTTCCGCAGAGGGAGAAAGTAAGCTTTTTGCCACTCCAAGTGGAAACACCCTTAACTTAATTTATAAGAACAGACGTGACGGAAGTGGTAAAGCGTTTAGAACAGAAAAGCTCCTGGATCTGATAAGGTAGCACCCGAGACAATAAAAAGGAGATCTAAAAACAGCAAATCTCATACTTAACCTGAAATCAAGAAAAAAATTAGAGGAGTCTGAGGCGTACAGGAAAAGAACATTTGGGCCAAATAAGATACAGAACTTGGTCAGAAATTACTTCACGGATAATGCATCAATATTGCGCAGGTAACTCTATAAGGACCAGGACGGGAGTACTGCAGGGCTTCGTCCTTTGTCCATTGCTTTGAAATGTTCTTTACAAAGAGATTTTGGAGGCCGATCTGGGCATTGGTGTATAGGGAATAGAGTATCCGGATGACCTGGTAATGCACAATGAAAACTGGTCAATCATGCATAAAGCGAACCGAACTCTCAGCAAAGTGAAGACGTGGATGGGAAGCAGGGACTTTCTACTGGCGACCCACAATATTGAAACTATGATCCTCAGGCGTCATAGGGCCAAGGATCATATAGTTTTTGTACTGTGGTGGGAAAGGATCTTACCTGCCAAAACAGTAATATGGGAGGACCGGGGACTGCCAAAAGGAGAATTTTAATGGAGGTGCTCTTCTCTACTGTACATTATGCGGCTTCGGTATGGCAATAAGTGCTTAATTGAGAACACTTTAACCATAAACATAATACACGCCAGGGCATCCTTAACAAGACACGACTTGGTACAGTCTTTAAAAGATTTAACCTCCTTCCATAACAAAGTTTGTCTTTTGAAAGCAAGTGTAAATTTTTCCTCTTTTAAGCACATCCATTGATTATATACTCAGATGTGTTACATTTATAACATTCCAAAACACTTTACAAAGTTTATTCGAGTTTTCCATTTAGTAAATTTTTACCAAGTAATACAAGAGGACTATTTACTTTTTACTTATTTTTACTTCTTTCACAAGGACTTTCACCATTTTAATATAAATTCTTTGATTTTAAGAAAGGTTTTATAAATAAATCCATAATTCCCTTAAATTCATACGATAAGTTGAAAAAGTTGATATCTTTCAACATTATGCATTAAATGGCCGAAGTACTCAAGCTTACGTTGTTTTACTAAGTAAAGTACTTTTGTTTCTTTCCCATGCCTTGTAAGAATTTGACGTTGGTGGCATGATTCACATAAGATATCTTTAATATCCTCTTGTAGATCCACATCTTGAAGGCTTTGATTTTTTATTGGTTTGTATTACTGTTGAGGCTTCAACTCCATCTAGTATTGCCGAAAGAACGTAGCACATCACTATCCGCATATTGGTCTCTAAAACCAGAGTACTTCAGCACAATTAAGTCTTGGTCAGTATAGACTATAAAATTCTCATTGTTGACTCCATTTCTTCCGCGTGTTTCGATTGTGAGTTAGCGGTAGTTCCCACGTAGCTGAATCTGTCAATCCTCTTGAGCTTCCATTAGCGCCCTGATTGAAACAAACAAATTAAAACTACAAAATTTTATATCTCAATCTGACTCTTTTAAGAACATATCTGCACGGAAATCGTTGAAGGGATCGACTTCTCAACATCTCGATGAAGCGCTTTTCAAGTGGTTTCTGCAGAAAAGATCTGAGGGCGTACCAATTTCGGGACCAATGTGTGCTATACAAGCGGAGATTTTTCACAAAAATTTAAAAATCAAAGAACCTTTTAATGCATCCATTGGTTGGTTATATCGATTTAAAATTTCATGGAATTCGTGAACTTACCATGCAAGGCGAAAAGCTCAGTGCCGACGGAGAAGCAATGGTGAAATTTTGCTATGAGCTGGAGACCATAATTACAGAAAATAATTTACAACTTTCCCAAATTTATAAAGCTGACGAAACAGGATTATACTGGCGAGCAATACCTACAAATACTTAAGTTGCAGGTAATATGATGAGTGCACCTGGGTATAAAAAAAGTAAAGACATGACAACCGTATTGTTTTGTGCCAATGCGTCTGGCAGCCATAAACTGAAGCTGACTGTGATTGGAAAGTCAAAAAATCCTCGCGCTTTTAAAAATATTAAACGACAGAATCTCCCAGTTCACTATTATAACCGGAAGGCTGCCTGGATAATTTGTGACATTTTCGAAGATTGATTCCATTAAAGGTTATTCCTGAAGTAAAGTTATATTTGAAGAAAGAAAAATTACCACAAAAGGCGGTTCTTCTTTTTTTAATGCTGTTGCTCATCCCAATGAGGCGACTCTAAGATCTGACGATGGAAATTTCTTTGTTCTTTTTTTTCCATCCAATAATACATCCATTGCTCAACCAATGGATATTATTAAGACAATAAAACGATTCTACCAAAAAAATTTATGATGAAGGGGTTGGATGGTTGGATGAAGTTCATCTGATGAAGTTTTGGAAATCGTTCACCATAAAAGACGCAATTTTTACAGTGGAAAATGCACTGAATGGAGTGAAAGAGACCACTATATAAGAGCTTTATTCATAATAAACAAAAATTCAAAATAATGACGCTAGAGGAAGATAAAAGTATCATGGAATATGATGATAAAGACACTACCATAGCTGAACTAACTGCACTAGTGCGCAACGTCGATGTGTTTGAAGAAATTGATGAAACCGAGATTGAGAGATGGACAGAGTGTGATAAAAACAAGTCAGGCTATCAGCTCTTCAGCAACGACGAAATTGTCGAACTGGTTTCCCATCAGCCCGGTACGTCACAACCTGATCATCCGAAACTGAGAGTCAAGATGAAGACAATGTATTAATCAACAGAATAACTAACCTAAAGACTGAGGAAGTTGTCAATGTTGTAATAGACTATTTTGAGCAACAAGAATCTTCAGATTTTGTCAATATTTTAAATTTGCGTAAAATACCTCAGAAGTGACTGTTTTTTTTCAAAAGCATAGCCACCTAAAATATAATACCTGTATGTAGTTTTTATTTTTAATATTCAATATAAAAATTTATTTCGATAGAAATATGTTTTTTGTTCTGTTATGTATAATTTTATGTACTATAAAAGTTAGTTTGAACTTATGAGTTTGATTTTTTCTGTTATCTTTTTTATGAGAGGTATATATGCATATATGTACAATGTAGATAGTACAAATACATAAAATGTTCGGATTATCCGTGCATTTTAATTATCCGTGCCACCGGCCGGTTCCGTGAAGCACTGATAAACTTACATAAGTAACGTACCATTAAAAACTTGGTCTAAAAGTGTCATCTCCTTTAATAAATCGTAGGACATTTGATCATCATGTTTTTTTAAAACAGCAATAATTTCTTTTCGAACTTTATCTTGAACATCTTGATGTAAACCAAGTTCAAATAATGCTAAGCTACTCGACATCGAGGAAGTTTCAAATCCAGCTGTGAAGAAGATAAATGCCTAAAACATAATAAATTTTCCTAGATAACAAATATTATCTATAATATGTCTTTAATAGTTCATTTAAAACAGTATAATTAAAAGATGCACACGAGTAATGATCAAGTGACTATTTTAGTCAAAATATCTTCTTTTCTAATGTACTTGTAGTATAATATAGAATAATTTTCTACTGTTTTTCCATTACATTATTGTATCTTCGGCGTGAGATTCTACAGAGAGTGCTTGAAGAATTCATTTACCGCTACGACGGTATATTTACACGATCCAAATCATCTTTCCCAAACAAAATGATCTATTGAGCCAAGTATGCAACGTGCAACTACCAATCTAAACCTTTAGTAATGAGAGAGAAGAAAGCCATGTTTCCGTCAATAGTCTTCATCTGCTGGTAGTTTGTGGATAAATTCAGTAGTATTACAGCTGGAGCAAATGCTTCGGATCATGACTGGAAGCAGATAATTATTATAGGTATATGGAATGTACAAGTAATAAAATAAGATAATTTACGAAGTTAAACAAGAGCAAATGGATTTTCTATTAAAAAGGAAAGCCTAGAAAAAGGAATTGCTCAAAAAACCTGTCAAAACACGACCATTTTGTCAGATGTTTATAAAGAGACAACAGCAAATAAGGGGTATCTAATAAAATATAATTATAATACATAAACATTGTGTAAATACATAAAAATATAACTTGTGAACATAAATAACTGAAATAAAAATTAAAATATATAATATGTGTATCGTGAAGAAACAACAAATATATTTAGAGAAAGACTTCCTCTTTACCTTACTTCAGGGGAGACACGTTAATCTTTTTCTCTTGGTCATGAGTACTTTATACCATAGTAAGATACCATAATAGTTTTACCATTAAACTGCAAAAAGGTCTGTTGCCTCAACGAAGGCCAAAACGTTCTTCATTAGTAGTGGTAGGATTTCTTCTGTCCAAGTGAATTCGTGCCTTATATCTTTAGCACATTGCAATGCTACATAATGTGTATCACAGCTTCTTGTTCCATTTCACATTATTGGCATCATGGTTTATTTACTTGCCTATTTTACACAATAGTCTTCTTAAACGACATGACTAGTCATTTAGGTGACCGTTTTCATCTTTCGTTTATTAAGATTCTTTAAATTATCCAAAAAAATTTTTATCAATATTTTTGATACTTTTTTTAGTCTGGATTTACCCTTAAGCGACTCTTCATTACTTTTGATGACTCCTTATAAGCCATTTATAATTCTCATTTACTTGCAACATCTTTGGTAAAGCCACATAATGATTTTGGGCCTATTAAAGTTTTTCTTGAGTCTTGTTTTACCAACAAATCTGGTTGTTTATTCCCATGCACTCCTTCATGACCCGGTACCCAAATTAAAGACTCTTGAGTGGGTTCTTTACGGCCAGACTAGCCACTTGGCTATCTGTATAAATTTCGATTTTCTTTGATTTGGTGTCTCCATTTATGATTTCACCAATGGATCACCAAGGAGAAAGACATATCAATATTCAATATATTACCTTTATATTTTAAAATGTTGTTCTCTTCAATAACAAGCATTATGAATATACGAGTTAAGTTAACTTTTTAAAATAACATATAGTATTACTGATATGCATCTTTAAACTTTAAAAGCACGCCTCAGTTGCCATATTTCCTTAATGAAGGTCACTTATTGGTGTATTGGTTTATTTTCGTTGATTTTTTGTTATGCTGAGGATGGTGTGCAAATTGTGGACTCAAAAACTAGTCTCACAATATTTTATCACAAAAAGACAAAACAGAATATATTGTGGTATATCCAGAAACGATATAAAAACGGTACAAGTAAAAGAATTAAAGTTTTAAAGAAAAGCAACAGGCAAGTTAAGGATAAAGAGAATGACAGGTACAAAAATCCGAGAAACAATGAAATTAAGACACATACTAATGAATGAAATAAAAAAGAAAAAGATGGCACTGGTCTGCAAAAAAAAAATTTCCTTCTTTTTATTTTATGCATATTAACTTTATTTTTGGTGAACTAAACGCGAAATTCACAATAAAAATAAATACGCTACATATACTTTTCATGTAATCTTAATTAAAAAAAAAAAAAAACGATTTAAATGCGTTTTTCTCAAAACTTTACTTTTGTGATTTAGTGGATTTTCCCAGTACGTTCACGATATCTTCTTCTTCTAGTTCCATGACCGTTATCGATCGTTGGATATCATGTTGGCTACCATATTCGCTATCGTGACTTTATTGACAGCAGCTCTAAATAACGATGTAGTTGATTTTCCATACCATTGCCTTAGATTTTTCAGCCATGATGTTCTTCGTCTACCAGGACCACGATTACCTTGGATCTTTCCCTGAATGATCAGATGTAATAGATCATATTTTTCAGGGTGTTTCATAATGTGATCGAAGTATTCCAGCTTGCGTTTCTTTATTATATTGACCAGTTGTGTTGTTTGGCTCAGCCGTCTAAGGACCTCTTCATTTCTAACTCTGTCGACCCAGCTTAGTCAATGCTAAGATCGTGACTGCAAAGTACGTTTCTCATATTTACAAAGGCAGCTCGGGCTTGTTCTATTCGGCTTTTAATTTCTGCGGTTGAATCCCAGCTCTCATTGATATTACTGCCGAGATACACCAGTTTCTCTACTTTGTCCAGTGTGGCATCTCCGACTTTTATACCGTCATCCTGTATATAATTTTGTTTGCTAACTATCATCAAAGTATTCATCAAAGTAATCCACTCAAGAATTAACAGAAAACTAGATGCAGATATTAGTAATACTCAATTCGGATTCCGGAACGGGCTTGGAACAAGAGAAGCACTATTTGCACTTAACGTCATATGCCAAAGATGTCTAGATATAAACCAAGATATATATATGTGCTTTATTGATTACAACAAAGCGTTTGATAAAGTTCGTCACGATCACTTAATGAAACTGCTAGTAGAAAAAACTTGGATAAAAGGGACATTAGAGATATCTCTAAGATTTACTATAACCAGAAAGCAAATATCCGAATAGAGCAAGAGACAACGGAGGAAATCGAGATAAAGAAAGGCGTAAGACAGGGTTGTATACTCTCACCGACCTTATTCAATCTATACTCCGAAGACATTATAAACACAGCACTTTCGGATCAAAATATAGGTATTAAGATAAATGGCATCCGAATAAATTACTTGAGATATACCGATGACACGGTACTAATCGCAGAAACTTGGGAAGATCTTCAAATACTAATTAAGAAAATAGTAGAATGCAGTGAAGAACACGGATTATCACTTAACATAAGCAAAACAAAAATAATGCTAATATCTAAATCACCACAAAACTTCCCTGACATAACCGTGCATGATCAAAGAATCGAACGTGTAAGAAGATATAATTACCTGGGAACTGTTATCAACGAAAATAATGATTGCTCTGACGAAATCAGAACCAGAATAGAGAAAGCTAGAGCCACATTTACTAAATTGAAAAAGGTGTTCTGCGGAAGAGATCTAAGTCTAAAACTTAAAATTCGCCTTTTGAGATGTTACGTTATGTCAGTTCTCCTCTACGGGATGGAAACATGGACATTGAAAAAGATCGATACCAAAAAGATAGAAGCATTTGAGTTGTGGATGTATCGTAGAATATTAAGAATACCCTGGACAGAGAAAGTAACAAATGTGGAGGTTTTGCGGAGAGTGCGGAAAGAGAAAGAGCTGATACTTACTGTTAAAAAGCGCAAACTACAATATTTGGGACATGTTATGAGGGGAGATAAATACCAGTTGCTGCAATTGATTATACAGGGAAAGATAATGGGAAAGAGATCTATAGGAAGAAGAAGACATTCATGGTTGAAAAACTTGAGAGAATGGTACAATTGCACCAATTACCAACTGTTTAGATCTGCAACATCAAAAATACGCATAGCCTTGATGATAGCCAAACTACGGAACGAAGACGGCACTTGAAGAAGAAGAAGAACTATCATATATTTAGTTTTCTTAACAATGAGTTTTAATACATACTGACCACAAGTCTGTTTTATTTTGTTCATTAGATTTTGAAGCTCTTCTCCGCAATTGGCAAGGACTAAGGTATCGTCGGCATATCTAATATTGTTGACGGTTACTCCATTCACAATAATACCTTCGGTTGTCTCCATTAAGGCTTACTTAAATATTTCCTCCGAATATAAATTAAAAAGTAAAGGCGACAATATACAGCCTTGTCTCACTCCTCTTTTTATATTTATTTCATCTGACAGTTCTTGTTAAACCTTTATTCTTGCCACTTGATGCCAGTATAGATTTGTAATTATTTGTAGATCTTTATCGTCCAATCCAGCTGTTTCCAATATTTCTAGCTTTGCTATTATATCTTCATGATATAATAGCATTTAATAAGCATTATAAATATAGCTCAGAATTATTTCCCCTCGAAAGTAACAGTATTAAAAGACATTAAAATAAAAACATATAAAAATCGAAGATAAAGAAAATGACAGATACAAAAATTGGAGAAACACTGAATTTAAGACACATACTAATCGATGAAATAAAATATAAACAGATAACACTGGTCTGCAAAAATTTTTTTTCTCCTTTTCAGGGCATTTCCCATTGCATACTTTTTCAATCTGCAATATATTCTAGTGAGACCTTTCACCATGCTTATCTCATGCGGCACCCAGATTTGAAGGAAAAATAGTTAAGTGCGAATCTAAAAAGGGGAATCTTAAGTGACATGTTGCATCCTAAATCTTCATAGACGCAATGAAGTTCTTGCATGATTTCTCAGTAGTTGTTAGCTTTGGTATTACCAAGAAAATTATGACACACTTTTATTACAGCCGCGTAAGCTCCTTTTTTGCTTTGTTTAACATAAAATTAAAAGCTACATTTGCCTGAGTTCTTGTACTTGCGAACCAAAAAATTTCTTCGACTCACTGATTCGGAGAAATTTTGTTTAAAGTTACTGAAATACTTTAT